CTGATCAGTGTTGGTAGATATGGCAGGAGCTGAGATACATGCTTCATTCACTTTTCGACCAGAGCAGAGGGAAAAGTTTTTTTGGATCGTATTCTAACCAAAATGAAGGAATTCTATGATAAGGCCATCGAGCGACCTAAAGTTGGCCTTTCGGATCACAGTTCAGTGGAGATCCAGCCCAAGCTTCGAGCAAAACCATCGCAATCAAAGGAAACAATTATCTCGAGGGATTTGAGACCTAGTAAAAGACACGCAATACAAATTTACCTCGAAATTGTTGACATACCACGCCTCCTTGACACCGTGGAGACCTGCGCGGAGAAAGTGTCACTATTTGAAAATATCGTTAAGACGGGCTTAGACTTTATTTCTCCCCCGCGATCCAAATCTATTCATCGAAGCGAGCCTCCGTGGTTGAATGGCAAACTCAAGAACCTGATCAAACGACGCCAATGTGCCCTTGCAAAAGGAAATATGGATACCTTTCGAATGCTCAGAAATTGCGTGAATCGTGAGCGTAAGATCTGCCGGGCAAAGTACTACGAAGCAAAGGTTAGCCATTTGAGGGAGTGTAAGCCATCCATGTGGTGGAAAGAGGTGAAAAAGCTCAGCGGCATGTCACCTGCCTCAGAAACGCGGGCCAACACCGGCAAATTACTGCAACACCTAGGTTTCTCACCAGGTGTTGAGCAAATTACATCAATTCAGCGTTCCTGACCCCAATGCAGATTTTTGAGCCTCTTACCCACAATCCTTTTGACCCACCACAAGCCAACAACGAAGGTCATGCCGTAAATATGATATCGGAGTTTTCAACTTTTATGAAACTATTGTAACGATAGGATTTTTAGTTATCGAGTTCTTTCATGCTTGCGCTTAAAAAATACAATATTCAACGTAGAAAGCGTAGTTCAGCAAAGCGCAAACGCCACCAGTTCTCCTTCAGTCACCCGTAAACAGTTATTATTAGTGTTAGACTGTAACAGCCACCTGTCATGTCCTTTTGTGTAACTGTTATCCACCGGAACTCTTTAAAAGTAATTAATGTTGTAAAAGGCGAAATTCCTGCTCAGCCAATAGTGTAGTAGATTACATGATCCTTTAGATTATTCATGGCATTACGTTATCCATGTACGTTAGGCTTAAATAGGACTGTTCTGTAAAGCTTAGCGGTAGGAAGAAAGTAGAAGAGAGAAAGTAGAAGAGAGAAAGAGAAGAGAGAGAAGAGCAGGGTCGAACCAGCCCTGGCCAGGTCCGTTCTGGTCAAAATTGTAGTAGAGCTTGCAGAATAAATCTACGTTGGAGCCAACCCTGTTGTTATTAGTCATTCTCTCAAGGATAGTCAGCAGCCGTAATAGATTCCGGTTACCTTCCCGCAGCCAGCGAGTGCCCCCAAGGAAAGCCTTTATCCAGAAGAGTTTTTAAGAGTTGTCCCCGTCCGTCCGTCCGTCCTGTTTTCACACATTGCAGCCATAGGCTGAATAACGGTATATTTACAAATACTGTTGATAAGAAAAGAGAGAATAAGAAAAATTTTCTACATCTTATAGACATGGCTAAAAATAAAACTGTTCTTCAAACGCTCGGTTTTACATAGGGGGAGAGTGAAATCACTTTTGCGTCTCAGTGCATATTTATAACTCTTCCTTTGGGGGAGGAGGCTATGGAGATTGTGGGTGGGGTTACAGACGATCTCGTCAAACAGATCGATTGAAATCTTTTCTCTCCTCTCATGAAGTTTCGGTAGGCCAACTGTTTCTAGTGCTACACTATATGAAAGGTCAGGATAGATGATTCTGAATGCCCTTCTTTGGATCCGTTCCAAATCTTCACTGATGTAGTTTGGTAGAGAACGATGGAATACACGACTTGCGTATTCCAGGACGGGCCTAATACATGTCACATAGAATTGCACCAGTTCACTTGGTGCCACTCCAGATCTCTTGAGTTGACGTAAAAAGTAGAGACGAGAGGAACATTTTCTAATTAGTTCAGAGGTGTGCATGTTCCACTTTAAATCATGGCTAATGGTCACGCCTAGCAATTTGGCACTGGTGACTAATTCAAGGGGTTTGCCATTTAGAACTAGGGGTTCGAAATCGTGGTTGCTGTTGGAAAAACCAATTCGAAGTTCTTTGCACTTGGCCTCATTCAGTTGGAACCCATCGAGACTCGCTTGTCTCGAAAGGTCATCCACAGCTTCTTGGAGTTTGCTCTTATTACCCTTTGTAACTATTTCGGAACAAGATGTATCATCCACGTATTTCCACATGTCAACTGGTGTGTCCAAGTCATTAATCATGACAAGAAATAACCAGGGGCCCAGTTTTGTTCCCTGGGGGACACCGGATGGCACAGAGCGCCATTCAGAGTGACAATCCTGAGCAAGTTTAACTCTTTGTTTCCGGTCCATCAAGAAGTCAACAATCCAACCTTTAACTTGACTCGGAATATCATATGTTGTTAGTTTTTGAACAAGAACACTGTGATCGATAGGGTCAAAGGCCTTACGGAAATCGAGTAGGACTACTCTTGCCGTGGCGCCATTTTCGTCGGTGTTAACAAGCCAATTATGCGTCATATTGACCAAGGCATGTGTAGTAGACGATTTAGGAATAGTTCCAAATTGTCGAGGGTCGATTCTTTGTAACACAGCAGGTTTAACGTATTTCTCAACAATGTGATTTTCAGCGAGCTTAGACAGGATAGGCGTGAGGAAAATCGGACGGAGGTGCTTGTTAATGTCATTAATAGGCCTTTGTTTTGGCACCGGGACAACGTCAGCCTCTTTCCAAGAAGGTGGAAGGCGGGATTCGTGGAACGAGGAGTCGAGGATCGCAGAGACTGGACCCGCCAAGAGATCAGCGTTTTCCTTTAATAACCATGCCGGGATACCGTCTGGCCCATGTACTTTCGAGGGGTTGAGCGCAGATAGTGTGAAAACAGGGTTTTGCCTTCACAGATGAACGGACGGACGGACGGACGGGGACAACTCTTAAAAACTCTTCTGGGTAAAGGCTTTCCTTGGGGGCACTCGCTGGCTGCGGGAAGGTAACCGGAATCTATTACGGCTGCTGACTATCCTTGAGAGAATGACTAATAACAACAGGGTTGGCTCCAACGTAGATTTATTCTGCAAGCTCTACTACAATTTTGACCAGAACGGTCATTCTGTCCTGAATGGTGGTGCTGACGTCCGCATTTGAGGCACTTCATTCTTGAACTGCAATTTTTACTTATGTGATTCCTTTTTAGACAAACAAAACACCGTCCTGCCCTTTTCAAAATCTCTTTTCTCGCTGCAATGCTTGTCACGTTCTTATAGGCATTAGATGCATGATCCTTTCCGCAGTATGTGCAGGTTGGCTTGGACCCGGTGGCAAATAACGCTGCATCTGTTGACAATGGCAATCCCTTGCGACCTCTGTTGTAAGGAGGTTTGGTTGACGATTGGTCAATTGGGCTAACATTGTTCCCATTGGCTCGCTCTCTAGCTTCAAGTTCACTTCTGAAGACATCCAGAATGTGATCGAAATCCCACTCATCCTTCACTTCTCGGGTGATGATCAATCGCAAATCTTGTGGTAACTTACTCGTAACAACAGAGGACAGGAGGCTTCCATATGAACTTGACGATACACCTAGTGACTTTACACTTCTAACTTGAGACTCAATTAGATTATGCAGCTGACGTAGCGCTTGGATGTTAAGGCCTGATTTGACTGAGCTTATGTTTAACAGAGTCTCCATGTTTGTTCCCAAACCTTCTCTTCAAGATGGTAACAACCTCATCATAATTTGCAACAGTAAGGGAGAATTCAGAAATGGCTTCACTAGCCGAGTTCACAAGAAGAGAATTCAAGTAATTGAATTTATCTACGGGAGCTAGTTTGGTATTACTGTGCACAGATGATTCAAAAGCATCCCAGAACGAGGGCCACTTGCTTATGTCTCCATCAAACTTTCTCAGGTCTAGTTTAGGTAGTTTTACTTGTGTTCCTAAGCTATAAGTATTGGAAATACCTGATGTGGAAGGAGTCAAGGGTGTATCCGAAGTCACTAAGACATTTCCATGCGATGTAGAAGAAGTCAGATGAACTTCTGAAGCCATCGAGACATTTTCGGGCGATGTAGGAGGAGTCAAATGTGTTTCCGAAGTCATCGAGACATTTCCAGGTGATTTAGAAGGGCTTGGATGTGTTTCCGAAGCCATCGAGACATTTCCAGGTGATTTAAAAGGGCTTGGATGTGTTTCCGAAGCCATTGAGACATTTCCAGGTGATCTAGAAGAAGGGGTCAATTGGCTAGGAGTCAATGCTGCATCGATCCTCATTATTGCCAACTGCGTAAATTCCATGAATTCGTCCGCTTCACAGATTTCTTCATCTATCTGATCTTCGCTGACGACTGCGAGGATATCTTCATCTAACTTTCGAATTGTGTCGAGCTTCTCTTGTAGCAGGAGTTTCTGCTGTCGTAATCGTGTAATAATGGCCGATGGCTGATCCTGTTCCTCAAGGGTTTACAAAATCTCTTCTACAGACGAAATAATTTTCCTTGTTGACACTCTGTGGCCCGTACGGACCTTCCGTTTCCTCGAAAGCTTTCCAGACATGAAGATAGACGCGATTAATCCATCAAAGATTCAAATCAAAACATCAAGGAACTCGCGCTTATCTCGTTCGATTCGGTTTTAAGAAGATCTCTGATTGTAATCCGTTTTCATCCGACTCGGTGGACCATGTAAAATATTCAATTATAACAATCTGTTGTTGCTCTGTCGTAGTTCGCGGTTCGCTCAATCATTCGAGACAGGATAAAGGCTCATTTTCCAAAAATACAACATTTATAAACAACAACATTACCACGCCATCTTGAAGGCGTGCTCATACTTATTTATCCATAATACATTGCGAACATAGTCGTGACGCGATGTAACGACATCCGTGTCACTCGATTTATGATGAACATGCTTGCGATACGATAATTTTTTCCTAACG